TGGTGGGGATAGTTAAACTTGTCTGTATTAGTAAATCCCTTATACGTTAAATGATATAATCACTTTTGGTAGATGTCGTGTAGTGAATTATCTCAAATTTTGTGCCAAAACACAGGTCGATTTTAACTGTCCATCATGACTGGAATTCATTACAGCCTGTAAATTATTTATTTAAATATTATTACGCTGAAATAAAGCTATTAAACTCTGTAAAAGTAAATAAAGTACTTAACAGGGTCAATTGAACCAACCCGGCCATGAGTAGCACTGCAGGAATCTTACTCTGTGAAAAATTCATGCAAGTGTATAATATCTGAATAATTTTGTTTTTAGTTTTGATGTTAACATTTAATACCAGTTCACAAAATCATGTTTCCATTGGCTTTGACTAAAAGTAGTTTTACGCTACCCTCTGAATAGTAAATATAAAAAAACGAATTCTTCACTGAGTAGCAAAAGTAAATTCAATTAAAATGTTTAAATACAGTATTATGATATTTTAACTGTAATACAAATAGTATAGAAGTAAGAACACTTCATTAACAGATTTGGTAATGCACATATTTATTCGTAGACCTAATTTTAATGTATTCACTTTTTTGGTGCTGCGTGATATAAATGGTAACTACAAATAACACACAATACCGTATTTTCACAATTATTTTATATTACGTAAAATAATTTGTCATTAGCAATTGTTCCACTGATAGGTGTACAACAAGATAAAATATAAGTGGGTGTTCCATAAGAACTTATGTTTAACAATTCTTTCCCTTAATTTTTTGTCTGGAACGGGACAGTTTTAATATCCATTACAATAGAGATACAACCTATATCGAAAAGGGTGCGAGGCCTAGATCAGTTATAGAGGTAAAAAAACTAATAGTGAACCATAATCTAGAAAACAATCATCAAAAAACAAGTAGGAGGAAATCAATTGAATTTCACCTTAAGGAACCCCATTATATAAAAGATGCAGATACGTTTTGCTAATAAAGCAAACTTTTGACCTAGTTTCACCCTCTCGAAATTTGACAGTCAAGTTGTCAAAGGTTTTGGTAGGAATGCTCTTTGGAGTTTGATTGTCTTTTGATGAAGTGACGAACACCAAATCATAATATTGGGGAAATTAATCGTGAAACGCTGGAATTAGTGACATATTCAGGACCCTTGGGGTGGCCAAACACCGAAAATCAGGTGGTCGTGGAGTACGGAGGGGTTGGGAGGGCTACTTTGCCCTCCTGACCCCAAGGATTTTTAAAATGTTTGTTTTGCAAAACATAAAATGCCATATACACATACTTACCTTTGACATGGTATATTAACACATGCATAATTTCTTAACAATTTTAGTTAGACTAAAAATATATTTAGTTGGCTAGTTTAAGAAATATATTTAGATAAAATCTACCTTTGTTCACAACAATTTTCCAATAATTATTAGAGAACAAACGTTTAAGGAATAGAGTTTATAATGTATACTTATTAACATTGTAATTAATTAACATTAATTTCATTCGCTGATATAATGCAGCCGCTAAATTTTGTTTATCGTATTTAGATAATTAAGGTCATCAATGAAGGGAGTGAGCTACTAGGCTAAGTCCGGTTAGGTTAAGATGAGGTGTGTAATATAATTAGACTAGTTGTTTAGGAGAGTTTAGCAGGGAAGTGACTACAATATATTGGTGTATTTATTACACCCCAGCGTACTCAAATAACTGCTTTAAAATGCGTAGATCGGTCAGAAGGAAGTTCTAATTCACCGAAAACGAGATTATAAAACCAGTGAAAAAAGTTATTTAGTCATTTAAGCCACATTAAATAATATTCGGATTACTCTACATTTTCCCTGAGAAGTATTTATTTCAATTAATTAATTTTAGAAGTCACAATTGTATGTTTTTAATTACAAAATATAAATCTCAGAATTTTATGCACCGGGATATGACATCAATAAGTAAAAAAATAATAATACAATAATACCCTACTCACGAACACCAGTAAAACTCTATTGTCAATGGATGTATTCATCATGTGTAAAATTAAAGCTAAATGGGCTGCATAATTTTCATTTACCATAGTTATAATTATTTTTAATAATTTATTTATGTGAATTACAAGAAACGGGACCTTACAAGTTATGAAAAAAATTCTAATTTATAAAATACTTTTACCTACGACCGTTTTTTAAAGTAGCCGTTTCAGTACAGTTCTTAGAATTGAAAAGTATCTCATACAAGCATTGTTTACATTCATAACAGCATAGTTTTCTCATAACAACACGGGTAACTGACCAATGAGGTTCAAGGATTGAGAGAGGAGAAGCAAAATTGTAATGATTCGAAATTCAACTAATCAGCTGTTCCGGCCAATTTAATTGTTGATTGGTGCAATTAGTATTTGATACAATGTTCGTTGCATCAATGTCAGTGGTGATTAGAGGTTATACACAAAAACATAACCTCTCTTAGAAGTTATGAGTAGTGATTTGTAGTACTTAAAACATCGTCGTAGGTAAAGTAGTGTACTCAACTCGCGTAAATAGTGTTAACGACACTCGTAGAAGCTTTTAAGGCACTCACCAAGGCTCGTACCTTAAATTTTCTACTCGTGTCGTTAACACTATCTTTACGCAATCGTTGCGTAAACTACTATTACAGGTGACACTCCACTTGTGTTTTACCTGTTCATAAGAAAAGTAAAAAATATATTTATTCATAAATTAAGTACATTTTAGTATGTGATAATTCCCAGATTAAATTTAGCCACAAATTGAAAAACTTAATAGAGTTCAGTTATACTGTATAAATAAGTCACAGTAACAAGGTTTTCACAAATAAATACTTAGGCAATAGTAGTGGTGCCATAGAGGAAGGATGTTGTTAGAAGTAAACAACAAGACATCAATAGCAGTCAACGACATCGAGAAACAAAACAACAGAATCGTAACCACGCAACGACGAAATAGAAACAAACCTAAGTGTTGCTCAATTATAGGCAATCACCCTATTATATTTTTCAATATGCAGTATATTTATTTTATATCTGCATTTTAATGTTGCATTTTAATGTTGGATATACTATTACTTTTGCGAAGTAGTTAATTGATAATTCATGTATAGCATTCATGTATAATTCAAACTCCCATTTACCAAACCCAATAATAAAACTTACATATATTGGAATATACATTGGAAGAGTATTTTCACCTTGTTCACTTAAACAGAAAAACTTTATTTGGTTTTCTGCATGATTTCATAACTTTCATTGCCCTTAATTCCCCTTAGTAATTTATATTATTCTTGTATTCTACGTACATAAATAAAATTGATTATTATAGTCAAGTGGCATTTTCACTTGGGTTCCACTAGTTTGATCATACATAAACAACAAAATACACCTTTGAGAGCAAAAGTTAATTTTATAGGTTAACACAATTCATATATATATTGTAAACTATAATTATGGTCCTTTAGTCAATTTACAAATAACGGTTTAATGGTCCTTTACTACGTTTTCTTGACCGTCACTTGGATCTTTCTCAATGCAATTACGAAAATCTCTATTCAAATATTGTTAATGGCGTTTTACCCTCTAGAAATTGACCCAAGAAAATTTTTCTGGAGTCATAGATAGAATAAAAACACAAACAGAAGATGATCACAATAAAAAGTTTTGAGGAACATTGTCGAAATCAGATAAGGTAAATAAGACTTTTACGTGTTAAAACTATTAAAAAATGTCTGTTGGAGGCTAGTTGTATAATGATAGACATAATACAAATACATTTCAAACGAAAACCACTCTATACACAGCGGAAAACTATCATTGAAAGAGGAACAAAAAACCATATATTTTTTAATCGATCCTAGGCCAATGTTCGTTAGTTGTTGGGACAATTCTGTGTTATAAGCCTAGATGAGGTTAAGGTTGACTCTCATCACCTTGAATACCTTGTGCAGAGTCCCTTGTTTCCTCGTTACGAAGTGTAAGCAAGCTATAAACAGTCCAACAAACATACAAAGTCACAAAAACAACAAGGTTTTAACATCAAAGTCCCTCTGGTAGATATTTGTATGAAAAGTACGTCTATCAGTTGATAGAAGTCACAAATCGGATTCTTTAAATATTTTAAGCAAAATATAAAGTTAAAAAGGTTTTTAACTAATGAACATATTTAGATTTAAATCGTAAATGGTATATTATTCAGTTTTCCAATATATGTGTATTTATAGAAGTGCTATGAAAAAATGTTTAATCTTGATACGTTAGTCACCTTACATTAAGGCTATTTGACTTTGCTAAAGTAAGGATTTTGGAAGGGTGAAATGTACCTAAAACAATATAAAATCTTTCTTAAAATCCTAATAATGTGATAAACATTATTTTTTAAAGTATTTATATTGACATAATCGATCTAATGTTGAAGCAATTAAACTTTCGTACTGTATTTTTTCAGAGCTTTTGACTATCAACATCATGCCACAAAGTGGTAAAATGTATAGTTGCAAAGATGAAAGAACGAGATGCCACGACGCGCGGCGCGGGTGGCCGCTGACAAGACGTCTACGAGGGGAAGGACCCACCAGTTTCGTGTCGGCTAGGATTAAGCATGTAAAAGGCGAGAGTATTGACGAGTCGTAGTGTGATTCCAGGCTCTTGGAGTTTCAATATTTACATGAGTTCATCGACGCTCGAACAACGTCTTAAGTATTAAAATGGTCATGAGGAACGGTCGGAGAACGACCTCTTAGAAAACTACGTAGTTGCCGCTAGTTTTGTAAAGCGAAAGGTGTTACTCGAGATCGATATCCGAATTATTTGTAAACCTCGGAAACAACAAGGTTTTGATGTATCAGACATAAGAGTCTTGGCGGTGGGTGGTAGGAGGAGGCGGGAAGACGCGAAGAGACCACGGCGCCGGTCGCGCCCCGAAACTGCCTCTTTTTGCGCAACCGACTGCTCTCTCAGCTAGAAAAGAAATAATCAATGGATAGCAAGCTACAATGTGCGGCGGCCAGTATCGCTTTGTTATGGAAGGACGAGGGCGCGCTCGGTGAACGAGGTAAGCGATTCTCCCACACTACACACCTTAGACGGACGGCCGCTATGTCTTCATATGTATAATACGGCCCTGGGAACATAAGACATCGGCCGGCCTTTTGTTTATTCACTCTGTTTTGTTAACGTAAGCTTACATTTTGTGTTAAATGCAATAATCCTCCCATGTTTGATGTCGTAAACTTGCCATACTTTCTTCGAGTGCTCTGTCTGTTAAGGTGGGATTACCTAAACGGGGATCATCTTACTTCTGGCTTAATCTATTTCTTATTTATTACACAGTTTATTATGTTTTACTTTCAGCCCTCTCTGTTGTATATTATCGGGACTGTAAGATCGTGGATAATTGTATCGGTTAAAATTCAAAACTGTGTGTTAAAATGTAAAAGAATGTCAGTTTCAGAGAAGTACTACGAGAAAAATACAACGAAACTTTTAATCTCTTAAACAATCAAATTCTTTCACTTCGAGTAAATGTTTTCACCTATTTGGACTGTTGCAAATGGTAAACTTGCACTCGTAGTTTAAAAGTGCTAGTGTGTTCCCGCGCCTTGCGCCGGCTACACATGGTCGGTGCGCATCTGAGCTGCCATTGCCTTCGTTTACCGGCTCTTTCTTTTGTCATCAACAACCTCTTTTTAATTAGCTGAAACTGTTAACCAACTATTTGTGTGGCATATACAAATCGCAAAAGTTAAAATCTTAAAATCTCATTAGATACACCTAAGAAAATATTGAGATCACTTTTGATTTATTAATCCAGAAAAATTAAATGACCATTGAATTAAAGGCTTAAATTTATAAATTAATAAATCAAATGTATGTTCAAATCAACTCGGTTTAAATATCATTTACTAAATCTAGTGAATACCCTAATAGTATTTAGTGTAACGTATTAGACTTGGATTTTGGTGCTTCAAATTATATAAATATCTATTGTTTTATATCCATTGTGATATTGTTTTAAACAGGTATTTATGTGCCATAACTAATGGAAAGGCGTTGAATAAATTTTATTTTATTATCTGTCAATATCATTAAGCAATCGTATAATTGTTCTAAAAAAGATTACACCCGTGTTACCCCCGTGTCGGCTTAGGCCAAACCGAGAATTTAAAAAGTTCTAATTGCTCGACAGAATGACATGGCAGAACTGTTTACAATACAATATATTTTATTTTCTGTTTTAATAATGTATAACATATTTTATTTAATATTCAAAGTGCATATTTAACAGTTTTTAAATGTAAACTTTGTGGTAAATAAATATACCCTTTAACATTCAATTATTTCCAAATAATTTGCTTAGTTTTAACCGTTTTTAAAAATTATTAATTCAAATTCAAAATAAACTCGCAGTCGATTTATTTATTTACTTACCAAATTAAAATGGAAGTCTTATGATGTTTACTTATTGACTTATGTGTTGATGTTTACTTATTTATACATTATGACTAGAGTTAGGGCAGATGATTAAAATATTAAACTTTATATTTTTTCCGAGTAATATATTTCAAATCTCGTGAGCATACTTAAGTACTTGTAATAAATAAGTTAAATTTTACGCAATGCTAATAACTGATATCACGATGACAAACCAACAATTATTGTTAGAATTAAATCTTCGAATCGTAGGTTCGAAATAAAGGACCTTTATATAAACATGGAGTACACGAATTAGATCTAGATTTTGTCGTGTCAAACATATCGTGTTATTATTGCGTCTTCGATACAAAATAATGGTTTTAATAAGCAGTTTTAACTTACGTTTGAATACACCCTGCTTTGAGAAGTAAACATTGTCGTCTGCTGTCTTCTAAAATATGAAAAAAACAAGTTTACAATGTGCAACAAAACTGTTACATTGAAGTTGTTCAACAATGATTACAATCACACAGATTAACCTTACTTTTCTAAATTTAAATTCCTTAACACTTTCCTACATATTAAAAGTTAATGGATTTCAACTCTATTTACCTTTAGTAATAATATTAATAAAATGAATATGAATTGATACTAAGATGCAATAAAATACTTTGGCATTTGAATCATTAAAATTTTCAAGTAAAATTCTAGTGTACTAGAATTGTAATTTTAAATCCAAACCATTGCAAAAAATAATTTTCAAAGAAATAGGATTCATGTGTTGCCTAAATTTATATCTGTAAGTTAAAAAATATGTAATGTTTCGTAGATGCCACTTATAATTTGTGAACTTTAATTTAAATAATAACTGTATAAAATATTACCACAACTTTATTCAACTTGTACCCGTTGAAAGTAATTAATGTTTATATTTAGTAAACGTTTTCAACACATTATTTGATAATTAGCAATATATAACGAAATTTCTTCGGTTGTAACACATTATCGTACACATACAAAATAATAAATATAAAAATAAACTTCGTAAACATGTGGGTTGCGTATTTAAAAATTTTATGTTACTTGCTATTTACTATTTACTAATACGGTTAATAAGTGAAGGTGTATTACTTATTTAAAATTTGGCATTATTAGTTTTAGTTTTTTGTTTAAGAACTCAGTGTATTATGTAAACTTTCCTTTTGTTTTTATTCGTGTTTTTTCCATTTGGAGTACAGTAATATACTAAATGTAAAAGTAAGCAAATTATAAAACTATATACAGATTATTGTTAAACCCTTTTAAAGATCGAAATTATACTTGAGAAATATTTTAAACAAAACTTGTTGTTTCACAACTTTCGAAACTTAAAATGTACCCCGAATGTAGTTTTACCTTAAAAAAGTTTAATTATACAAAATTAAAGACTTATAATGCATATAACATGCATAGACTTTCATTTTTTTATGTTTACAACTCATTAAACTCCAAAAACTTACCATATAATAATAATAAAGTGTAATTATAAAGCCATACTATGACATTTCAAATAAGAATTAGAAAATTTAACTTTTCTCAGAAAACGAATACTTTAGAGAATATTCATTCTAAAATTGGCAGGTTATAGTGTAGTTGCATTAGTGCTTACACAAACGTACATAAACAATTCATGATCGGGAAATATTTTGTAGTTTAATACTTAGTTTACTCGTTTGATGATGCCAAAAGTGATTGGTTAATATTGGCTCTAAATGATATTTGTGCCTGGGTAAGAAATTCATGATGCTAAAAAAATTAAATATCAAATTTGGACTGTGCTCTTACAAAATCGTAAAACACATTAATTTTAATTAGTACTTAGGTTTGATGCTACAGGGAAGGCATTGAGGTGTGTTTTTATTGAAATGTAAATAGCGTAGTATGAATCAAACAAATTTGCCAGATTCGATTAAAATATATACATAAACAAGCTAACTACACCAGTTTATTTATTCCCGTGTGAATAACATAAGAATTTTAAATATTTTTTTAAAATTATCTCTGTAACCCTTAGGTATACAACAACGCTTTAATATACCAAATCATTTGTTTTTTGAACTCAACAAATTGGTTCGTAAAGAAACTGCGAAATATTATACTGTGAGGGTTAAAAATTTGAAAACCCTACTTTCACATCATGAAATCCCCCATGGCCACATTAAAATCTTGTTTAATCATGCTGGTTCTTGAACTCATTTGACTACACGTAGGTTTACACATTTGTACAGAATTTAATCAAAATCGTATGATTTTTACTCAAGTTATCATGCCAACGGACACACACATAAACAAGCACACATATATTTGGCCTCTGGGGCATCAAAATAAAAAGGAAATCGGGCTAGGGTCTAGGTCTCACCATGGAATTTACGGCAATACTTATCCCTATATGGGAAATCCGTGAAAAATATAAACAACTTAAAACACCGTGTTTTTAAGGCTGTTACCTCAATCAGCACCTAAACGGAGTATAAGTAGACGTGTTGTAGGCGTATCTCGAAATGCCGGTAGCGTATGTTTTGAGAACACATGTTATAACCGCACAGGCACGCACTCACGTACAAAGATGTTCAGAGCTTTAGGCTCAGGGCTCCCCCTCCTTATCTCTATAACGTCTTAATTGTTGTTGTGGTAAGTCGATTTCCGCCCAATTGTCTCTGAAAAGCCATGCCTTAAGCTACCATCGATAACACACGTATTAAGCATAATCAAGGTAACATAATCCACATCCAACAACATAACCAAAATTAGCAAGGCTCCCTACAATAAATGGGCTGAGAATGTCTATGTTCCTTTTGTTTGTATTGATAAAAATCTTCCAACAAAAATTTAGGAATTGTCATACTTCGACACTTACTTTTTAATTTGGTTGACGTGGTCTCAAGGTTGACTTTAATAGCAAAAAATAATATGTTTTGTTTATAAAACATTTTCCAATAGATATAATTTATATTTAATGACCTAAAAATTTCAGATTAAACTTCAAAACATTTTAGAAATTTAATATTAATTTTGTATGACCCAATATATCTATTTCATGAGTAATGTACAGTATATGATACTGCACTTTCTGCTGGACATTTAAGAAATTTGTAAATCATTTAGCTTAAAAAGTATTATTTGTTACAAGCCAGTTATGATCAAATATTTTTTATTTCAGCCACCCTTTAAAACTCCGTTTGCAAAATATTTACCATTGACAACCTATAATCTTAACACATTTTCCTCTGTTTTAACTACCAAATATTTGCTGCATGCCAAATCAATGTTATTTTATTACTGTACTCCTCTATATTATATTTTGATTAATTTATATTTTGTTTGGTTGTTTTACTATTAAAACTTGGAATGAATAATGTTTAGAGTCTTGTAAGATAAAAATTTCAAAAATAAAAAAGGTATTCAGCAACTATACCAATTAGTACAAAAAATATATTACATTAAATTTCAACTTATAATAGATTTAAATGACCAAAACTATTATACAGGGTGATTGATATAAGTGTGCCAGCCGTTTTATTCGAAAACTATAAGAGATATAAAAAAAGTTAAACGGTAAGTGCCTTGGATATTTTATTTAAAACATTGTAGTCAAGTCGA